AGCCTGCACAGGCGAATAAATAATACAGACATGCGCCGAACCGTGAACCCTCCCTTTAATAGGGGAGAGGATAAGGGGCGCTTTCTGGAGTCAATGTGTAAATAAAGATAAATATCTAGAGATACCTATTTTTTCCAGTTCCTGTCTATCCTGATGAAATTGTTCTCACTACAGTTTTAGTACATATTGTTTTACCGCTCCGATGAATTAGTCAAAACTGTGTACACTCGTAAGGGGAATGTTGAATACTTTGGGAATTTAAAAACACTTAAATATTATATGCTTGAAGCCTTTTGCCTTGAAGAAGGCTCCAGTTCTAGAGAAGTCTTGCTGGTGACCGCTCATCTTTTCACTGACTGGAAAAAAAAATCATTTTGCAGGAAACAATTTTTATTGAGCGCAACAGGACTGTTCTTGTAACAAGTAACAATCTCATTATTAAAACCTGTAGCTAGCCCGCGTACTCTTAAAATTAAATTCCCTGTCTGACAACGAATTTAGGATACTGAAATATTCCAACCTTGAAAAATAGATTATTTTTTCTACGACTCTTTCTTGACCAGCAGTTCTGTCTGGGGAGCCCAGCATTTCAATTTATTTTGGAAATCTACGTATTACTTTTAACTGTTTCATACAATTTTAAACTACAATAATCAGTCTCCTCTGTGAAAAATTACATTGACTACAAAAGAAGCCAGTATTGAATATAGATAATATAAAACTATATGTACTATGTGCATCTCAAGTGCCTTGTTAGCTTAGGCTGATGACGAATTGATGGCAACTCTTTGTGCCGACCACTAAAGGCAATGGAAGCTCCTACTGCTTTTGCAACATTGTTGAAAATCATGAACGTACGTTCCATGTCATTTATTTCTCTGACTACTGTCTGCTGTTTTTGGCCCAACCACTTTAATTTCTAGTATTTTCAGTTCTGATGCATGCCACTTTCTGTTTGTTCTTTCTCAGTGGTGCATATCTTTGACATACACACATAAACTTTATTTTTTCTCGAAATTAAGAGTAGCTATTAAACAAGCTAATTTTTCCGAGAGAAAAATAATAAAGGAAATCAACATGGTATAATGTAAGATACAAACTACAACAGAATGATAGTCAGAATGATAGTCATTGGAGTGTCGTCCAATGTGTTGGCAATCTTGTTTTCCATGTTTCGCTTCCGAGTTGCTGCATGCAGAAGAATACCTAAGAAAAGAAACAAAGTTAACGTTAACGTTCACAAGTCAACTATGGATATCTATGCAGACGATACCACCTTGTCTTTAAGCTCAGACTGGAAAGCTATTCCTGCACTAAACAAATCATTAACA